TCCTCAGACCTGGCACTTTGCGGATCATCACACGTATCACTTTGGAGTTCATCAGACCTGGCGCTTTTGGGGTTCATCGGATCTGGCACTTTGGAGATCATCAGACCTGGCACTTTGGAGTCCATCAGACCTGGCACTTTGGAGTTCATCAGACCTGGCGCTTTGGGGTTCATCAAACCTGGCACTTTGGTAATCATCAAGTCTTCTTCTCGGACCTGTCACGTTTGAAATCACCAAGTCTTCCCCTCCGACCTGTCTCTTTTGAGATCATCAAGCCTTCTTCTCGGACTTGTCACTTTTGTAATCATCAAGTCTTCCTTTGGGACCTGTCACGTTTGAATTATTGGGAAATCCAAATGTAAACTCTAAATAATTAACCGGTCTTCTGCAACGTAAGTCCTCCTAGTCCTCCTAGAGTACCCGGTCAAGTGCCCGGTGCACACCCCTTCAAGAGTAACCGGTCCAGTACCCGGTTATATGATGCAAATCTCATATGATAACTGGGTTAAGTCCCAAGAGTGGAAGGGTTAACATAAGAGTTCTCGGGAGGGTTCTAGGAAAAAGAAGGCCGGCCCTCTTCAAATGGAATGGTCACCAATTAAGGAGGCTTTCATGGTCCGGTCGCATTCCTTTGCGCCTGGTTGAACTTCTTGAATGGTTAAGTTTCTTGCATGGTTATTTTCTTGCCTGGTACCCCTTTGAAGTTGACTGGTTAGACTTCCCTCATAATGAACACATTTGACTGAACTGCCATGTCAACAAAAGTAACCGATCTAAAACTTTAAGAATCATTTGAAGAATGTCCAGGTCTAATTGGCTTGGTTGACAATTTCCCAGAACATGCTTGCTTCCAAGTCAATAGAAGTAATCGGCCTAGGCTTGGTTAGGTAACATTTTGAAAGTGTCTAGGTCTGGTAGGCTTTGTTGAAAGCATCCAAGTCTTGAACTCTTGAAAACGTCCAGGTCACGTCCATGTTGAAATAAAATAAGTTTCCAGGTCATCTCATGTCCTGGTTTAATAGGCTAGGTTGAAAGTTTTGAAGGGCATTTTAGATGCGAGGCTTGAATACTTCCAGGTCATCTTATGTCCCGATCTCTAGAGTTGAAAACGTCCAGGTCACTTCGTTTCTAGCTTGTCAGGTCGAACAATAAACGTCTAGGTTAAATTCGTCCCGATCAACTTCCAATGACTTGGTTGCACTACGTAACCAGCATGACGTCAAATTTTCTGTCCAGGTGCCGGGTAAAAAATGTGACCGGTCAAAAAATATTTTCCCAGACTTGTCTGATTTCATCAAATCCGCCAACTAAAAAAGTGACCGGTCACTTTTCTCAAAGTTGACCGGTCAAATTTTAGATTTTTCCATTCGCCATTTCTGGTCATTCCAGAACATCAAGAAGTGACCGGTCACTTTTGACCATGCCCTCTTCTTATATCCATCTAGCCTGTCTGTCGTGTTCTACCCCGACCTTGATCAAACTTCGATCGAATGTTCCGAAACGGCTTTCGTCTTAAGTCTCGACATCAAGACCCGACCTTTTCTTTAGAGATTTTGACCATGTCCTATGGTCGCGAACCCTCTCCAAGGTTCAGCCCTCTTCCAGGCAACACCCTTCTTCCAGGGCCCCTCTTCCAGGTTTTAAGTCTTTTAATGTGCCATTATCTAATTATTAGGTTGACCTAGCACACCTAATCTTCCCACATGGGGGTATGCCGGTGAGAACCAGCCCTCATCCAATCCTGCACGTCCATATATTATGTGTTCGGAAATTCTAGTCTTCCCTTGACATTCCGATCCACAAAGGATGGCTCATACAAGACGGTAATTTTTTTTGGCATCTTTTCTAACCCTTCCCGACCAAAAAGTCGGTAGGGATCCATGTAAGTATGGATGCGAATCCTCTTCCGGATCCAGCCTGTCTCAAGGCGATACCTCAACATCAAGGCCCCTATCTCAAGGGTTTCTTTTTTTTTGTTTTTGCTATCAGCCCATGCAACGGTCCAAGTCCTAGACATCAAGACTGATCCGTCTACAGCAAGCTTAGTAATCTTGATCACATCTTATCCACCCTCTCTTCTTTCCCTGATCATATTCATGTGGGTGGTGGATTCAAGTACTCGCCTATGGGTCTTCCTCAAGCCCCGTAACGAATATTTCACCCAATTCCCCTTTCAAGGTCATCTCCCTGAGCACGACCCTCACATTCCGGCAATCTGTCGTGTTGTGAGAGTCGGATTGGTGGTAGGTGCACCACTTTTCTATCCAAGGACGCTTGGGTTGTTCTCCTTTCTTCTCATCCCTTATTTGATGAACAGACCCATCATATGTGGCACTCGGCTTAGACCCTCCCCTCTGGTCATCTTTCTTCGGCCTATCGGTTTTCACCCGTGTATAGCCTTCCTCGAGTTCCTGCTTGCTTTTGTTTAGGACCTCCGCCTCGGCATACTCCCATGCCGTATTGTAGGCTTCCTGATAAGAGGAGGGTGGCCTCCTACAGAATTCAGTGTAGAGGTCACCCGACCGGAAGACATTCATCAGTAAAGACATGGCCGTCTTATCATCCATCTCTTCTACCTTGTCAACCTCGTCCCTCCAGCGGGTTAAGAATTGAGTCAAGGACTCCTTCTCCCTCTGCCCTACCGTGTTAAGGTAGGTAAACTTCTTCCTCTTAATGCAGTTGTCTTGGTACTTCTTGCGGAAAACTTCGGCAAGTTTTTCAAAAGACCCAATCCTGCCATGGGGAAGGCTGTTAAACCATTCCACAGACCTCCCTCTCAAGGATGAGAAGAAGAGTAAGCACTCCTCAGCATCAGTGCACCCGGCCATCTGTGCTACATTGTGGAAGGTGTCAAGGTGGACATTTGGATCCTCCTTTCCAGTGAATTTCTCCACGTCCAGCTTGACCTTCCGCCTCAATTTTTGTGCATGTACCCTGGCCGAAAAGGGTGATTTGGCCAGGGTGTGCTTCTTTGCTCCCACCTTCTCTTCCACCTTTTCCTCCAGGGCACGTAGCTTTCTTGTTACGCTTCCTATCTTGTCCAGGTCATCCTCATCATACGAGAGCCTGGTATATGCCGATGCCCTGGGCTGACTTTCAGCTTCCTCCTCGTCTAGGTGAATCGTCTCAGATTCCCTAGAACGACGAGATAGGGCGGGACGACTCCCACTAAGCCTTTACATTGCACTAGTCCGACCCATCTCAGGACCAAGACGTAGCTTGGCAGACTTGCGGGGTCCATCCTCTTTGTCCCCTAGGCGTTTGAACGCCGAATCTCGAGTTTTGCTGGGCTTGGCTATAGCCTTACCCTTCCTTCTGCGGGCCACCTCTTGCTCCACCTCGTCCACCTTGTGAACATTTGAGGGCGCTGCCTCGTTCATGATCCCTGTCAAATTTACCGGGCGCACAGGGACAATCCTTGGAACGAAAGTTGATGGAGTCGACACCGGGGGTGGCATAATTGGTGCCGTCATGCCAGGATAGGCAAATGACATGAAGCCCCCTGCCTGTTGCATCATGGCCATTACCTGTTGATAGCCCTGTAGAGCCTGAGCATTTGTCGGGTCACCAGCAAATTGTGCCGAAGCTGAAGGGTATGGTGCGAATGCTCCCCCAGGCGTTATTATTGAGCCTGGGAACATTGTTGTCGTTGGAGTAGGAGTAGGGGTTGACATGATTGGGATCATGCCAACTGATCCTACCGTGGTGATCGGGGCAAAGGTCGTCACCATGCCTGGCATCATCAATGGGATGGCATGAGTGCTTTCACTCACAGCCTGGCTTGACATAGTGTTGTGGTTGCTTGAAGACATGATTGGGGATATTTTTAGTGGGGGTAAAGTTTTGACCTGGTCGAAAAAACTTTAAAAATGGCCCCACGGTGGGTGCCAAAAATGATGGTGTAAATATAGCTGGGAGGGTTGACCGGGTTTGACCTGGACACTCGACCCGTAATATAAAACACACAACAAGAACACAAAGTATGACCTAGACAAGGTAAATCTCCTCAGTCCAAAATATATTTCTTACTCTGTCTCAAGAGTGTACTAGTTTTTAGTGAGAGAAAGAATGGATCCCCTCCTCTATCCAATATCATCATATTTATAGAGGAGGATTTGTGACCTTCCCCTGTTCATCCATGGACAAAATAGGAAGCTCGTGGGAAGGTCACTGTAGATAATGGAAGCACTGTACAATCATGGACATGTTACTAATACAACCAAAAAGCACTGTTCAATCAAAGACTAAAATGGATATTCTCAATCCAATCAACCCTGCAAAATGACAAACATCCCTTTCACTGTGTGCCTCGTGATGGATGAGCGGCGGGGTGTCCCCTCGACCTCTGACGTGGTTCACCATGCCTAAGAGACTGGACCAATGTTAGCCAAGTAAAGTGATATGACCGGTCACCTTCTCTNTGTTACTAATACAACCAAAAAGCACTGTTCAATCAAAGACTAAAATGGATATTCTCAATCCAATCAACCCTGCAAAATGACAAACATCCCTTTCACTGTGTGCCTCGTGATGGATGAGCGGCGGGGTGTCCCCTCGACCTCTGACGTGGTTCACCATGCCTAAGAGACTGGACCAATGTTAGCCAAGTAAAGTGATATGACCGGTCACCTTCTCTCAAAGGTTACCCAGTCATTTCTTGCGCTCAACCCGTCTTTTTGGTCTTCCGGAATATCCTTCGTAGCATAAGGTGATATTTTGGCTATCGCCCAAAATGTGACCGGTCACTAATTTAGTGGAAGTGACCGGTCAACTTTTGACCCGTCCAAATCGAAGAGTTAACCTCATTTGGTGATTGATAAAAGTGACCGGACATACTTTGACCTGTCCCTTTCGGTTATCCGGGTCGGGTATAGGGATATACCCATCAACACTGAAATAAGAAAAGTTGCTACTGGACAAAAGGAAGTCATTTTGCACCATTTGAGAACGTGGACTGATGTGGACGCGCGACACTCTACCCCTCCCTTTCCTTATAAATACCTCTCAAGGGATACGAATTTGATTTCTCTAGAGTTTATATTGTAATAGCTCCCACCACTCTCCTACATACTTAATAACAATTGGACTACATGTGTTTCCATCTACAATCCTACTGGTCACTCTTTGTCTTTTTGCACTTCACTCTCTAGAGTCTACGAACTATTCTAGACTCGGCTTGGTAAAGTTTGCATGGTGGTAATTTACACCATCAGCTTCGTAGTCAAGTTTCTTTATTTTCTTTTATTGTAAATCCGAACAATTTATAAGTTTGGATCTCTCTTCTGTTTCCATTCCACACTTTATTAGATTTAATAGTAAAGAGTATTAAGTTAAGGTAACATAACATGTAGTTCTACTTTTGTCTCAATTTAAATGGCATGTTTTGACTAATGACGTTTGACTGAAATTATTTTCAATTCATTTTACATGAGAATTGTGGTGGAATTTTAAAAAAGAAATTTACATTTTACTTCATAAAACTATTTCTAAAGTTTTACAAAACATGAAGTGATGTGACTATATTATTTTATCAAGTAGGCAATAAAAATATGTAAAAACTGAATAAAATTTGACCATGTAAGTAAAACGGAGTATCTAGTAAACATATAGTTTAATTTAAGACAAAAATATATATATACACTCTCGGTTAAGAAAAATTCTCGTTTTGATTTGGTACTTTTTTTCATTTTTGGCGCAGTTTCCTAGACGTGGATAGTTTGGCACAGAAATGGGCCCCCACTGAGAAGGCCCATGGTCTTCTCTTGGCCGCACAAATAACCTCAATTGCCCTACCCTGATTACGAAAGACGAACTGCGTTTGGAATTTCCTACAAGTGGGCCATATGGGCCGTTTTAACCATGGACAAATAATTAACACCTCAGTACCAATAAAAGGACATTTTTTATTTGTTTTCAATTTGATTTATTTCAAAAATGTTTTTGAAATAAAAAATAAAACTTATGAAAGTGTATTTAAAAATATTTATTTTGTCCCATAAAATTTTTCTTTTTTTAAACCGTGCACCCTTAAAATAAGTAATTTTAGTGTTACTTTCCCATTTTGCCCTTAGTCTTTATAATAGATTAGGATAGATGGATCATAATTAAAAAATAACACCAAAATTAGTCATTCTAAAGACGTATATTTTTTCAAACAAAAAAGATTTTATGGGACAAAGTGAGTAACATTTAAAAATTTATAAAGTTATAAATCACAATATTGTTTTATTTTTACAAATGATTGGCAAAAATAAGTAACGAAGTGATAAAATTTAACTTTTTGAATAGTAATCGCCCCTTTATTATAGAACGGAGGTAATATTTGAAAGAAGACATAAGCCTCTGAAACGGTGCTTCAAATTTAATTGTCGCGATCTTTAAAGACATCTAGATTTGACTTTTTGGGACATAGAAAATATTCATTTTTTCCTTTATAAATTTAACTTTTCACTTTTTTTGTCTCAAAATAATGTTCACATTATGACATTATGTTTAAGTATTGAAAATTTGAAATAGGTGGTCAACATTAATTATCTCTTCTACATAAATCTCATTAACCATTTTAATTTTTCTTAAACTCCGCAAAAAAAATGAAAATTTTAATTTAAGGCAGAGAGAATATTAGATATAGGAAAACATGAACGACTTAAATATTTTGATGAGCACAAGAGATAAATTCTGATATTAGATGACCTTAATACGTTTTTTATTGTTTGACGAAACTTAAATAGAATTTAGATTTAATGTACCTCGATTTCCCAACTAGTTCAGGAGATTTGAAATTTCTTTTAATCGTTGAGCGCCCCGACCATCTTCACATTGCATTAAATATAATGATTTCAAAATTTTAAAATAATTTAAAATTTGATTTTCAAATTATATCATTTCTCCCTAAATTTTAAAATTCAAAATTTAGGTCAATAGTGAATTAGGGATATAAGAATCGACCCTTATTATAAAATCGAAACCATTTGATGAAACAAAATTGTAATTCAGCCACCAGGCCCACCAATCAAGTTATGACTAGAACTTTCTATGTTCTTTTTTCTTTTTCTTTTTTTTCTTTTTTTTTTTTTTGAGGAAAAATTTCTAGTTTCTTTTTTTTTTGTGAGGAAAAATTTCCAGTTTCTTGTGTTCCATACTCCCGTCCCACTGTTCCTCCAAATTTAACATGGTTTTTTTATTTGAATGTTTATGTTTGAAGTAATAAAAATAAAAAGTAAACTTCTTTCTTCACATAATGGGTAGGAAGCTTATTTCTTAATATTAATAAGAAAATTATTCGAGTTCGAGCTTCAGCTCAAGCATAAGCATTGACTAATTATACTTTAGTAAGTTGAGAACAAAATAAACAAATATTCTCCCGTCTCTAAATATATCTCACATTTATTTTTTCAACAGTCGCGAAAACTTTTGTTTATTTTTACGTTTTCATAGGTTATTTGATAAAATAAAATATTCTTGACACTTCTCATTTCGAAGAATTTTTTCATGTAGTTTTTTGATATGTAATTTTATTTTTTATTTCTATTCCAATATGTAAATAAAATGAATTGAAAAAATTTGATATTTTACCTCGATAATAAAATGTGAGATATATTTAGAGACAGATGGAGTGTTAAATTGTTATCGAGTCAGTAACAATAAAATAAAGAAATACGGTTGAAATCAAATTTCACCCTAAAGTTTGTATTTGGGAAAAAACAAAAGAAAAAGAATTGGTGTCCGAAAGACAGAAACCCACAAAGGTTGGGTCCCCCTAAGATCCACTAAGGAAGAAAGGTATGGTCGTTGCCGCTGTAAACTACTCTATCTATCTCTTCGTCCTGTTTATATACTCTATTCATTCATTCGTTCAATATCTCTCTTGAATCACCACACCTTGATACCTAAACCATGAATTCTTTACTATACTCCAATCGAAACCCAATGTTCTTAGTCGATTCAAGAATCCAAAGCTCAATAAAGCTTCGATCTTTTTCGCATTCCAACCTTATTTCTTGCACAAACAATGGCGGTACAGTTGACAAGAGTTGGAAGGCCAAGTATAAGAATCTGGCACTGAGTGGGGGAGATGGTAGAGCTCCCCCTCCTCTGCCACCGCCTCCTTGTAATCATCTTCCCGGCAAGACCAAGAAAAGAGTGGTGGTTGAGGAGGAGGAGAAGGGCGGCGTCGGCGGGTCTTCTGGTGGGGCTCCGGTGGGAAGACAACAGATGATGGTTCTGTGTGGGTTTGGGTATTGGGTTCAAGGGTTCAGATCGTTCCCATGGCTGGCTCTCAATTTCCACATGGCTAATGGGATGAATATGCACCCTTCTAAATTGCAGCTTGTGCAGAACTCCGGCAATCTCCCTTTTGTGGCCAAGCCATTGTATGGTATCCTGTCTGATTCCCTTTACATTCGCGGTGCTCATCGACTCCCTTACATATCCATTGGAGGTAAATTACCTACCTTCATGATTTTTGTCATGTCTAATTGGTTGTCATTATGCTACTTGGTTTCTCTCTTTCTTTTTATTCATGTAAGCTTTGCTTCAGTTGAAATCTCAGGCTTTCTTCACAATGTCTAAATTGAGTCTCTTGGTAGTTGGAGAAACCAGAGTCTGCGTGGGGTGTGATTGAAGATGAGATTAAAGTTAACTTGGAACTTCAGCCTTAGTTTCCTCTCATCACAAGAAAAGCTTTTTTAGCTTCCTCTCATTATAGGGAAACGATCAGAGAAAAGAAATAAAAACTTTCTTTCCCTTTTTAGGAATGAATGACAATATTGGAACTTTTTACTCATCAAATCAAAGTCATGATATATTTGAAAAGAATTAGAAACCCTGTTTGCAAGAAGTGTTGTGATTGTATGGTGAGTTGTTTATTCAAAAATCCTGATGGGTAAATTCATTCCCTCTCAGTTTTCCTCCAGGTTATAGCTTGGGTTCAATTAGCATCCTCTGCAAGTGAATCACTTCCAGCTCTCGTGGCATGTGTTCTCCTAAGCAACCTTGGAGCTTCGATCACAGAAATCTCCAAAGATGCTCTAGTGGCAGAATATGGTCAGAAATACGAACTCCCAGGAATCCAATCCTATGCGTTCATGGCTTCAGCTGCTGGAGGAATGCTAGCCAACTTACTCGGAGGGTATTTCTTACTCAAAACAAAACAGCCCAAATCAATGTTTCAAGCTTTTGCAGCTTTACTTGCAGTCCAATTAGCGATGTCGTTATCCATGAGGGAAGAATCACTTGGTTTGGCTGCCCAGCCTTCAAGTCATGAACTTTTACAGAAACCAATCCAAGAAAGTATAAAAAAGAAGTTTTCTGATCTCGCGGTTGCTATTAGAGAAGAAAGCATATACCGCCCTCTTGTTTGGATTGTTTTATCCATTTTGACAGTTCCGGTCCTATCTGGTTCGGTATTCTGCTATCAGACACGGCATCTGAATCTTGATCCATCGGTTATCGGGTTGTCCAAAGTGACCGGCCAGTTGTTGCTCCTCTCCATGACCATTCTTTACAACCGGTACGCAAAGAACGTCCCTATGAGAAAACTGTGTGGCACTGTCCAAGTCTTGTATGCTTCTTCCCTGATTCTTGATCTTGTGCTGATCAAGCAGATGAATATCAAGGTGGGAATTCCAAATGAGGCCTTTGCGCTTTGCTTTTCAGGAATTGCAGAGACAGTTTCTACATTTAAGCTGTTGCCATTCTATGTGTTCATTGCAAGTTCAGCTCCATCAGGATGTGAAGGATCACTCATGTCTTTATTGGCATCAGTGCTGTGTTTGGCGTCAATAATTAGTGGGTTCTTAGGTATTGGGTTGGCTTCTTTACTAGGGATTAGCTCTGGTGATTATTCACGGCTGCCTGCTGGGATCATAATCCAGTTTCTTGCTGCGCTGGTGCCCCTTGGATGGCTTAAACTTTTGCCAATGTCACAGCCCTTGACCGAAAAAAGGAAGACAGGCAGTGGAAGTAGAAGGACAAGAAGGAATAGGAGGGTGGGAAGAGTTGTTCTTGGTTATATCTACTCCTACAGGCGAGAACGGCAATCTGATCTGCAAAGATGAGAATCTGAGTTTAGATCAGAGCAGAAAATTGATTTGGATTAGATATCCGTGAAGATATTTGCTGAAATCATTGCCATCAGAAAGAAGTGAATGCTAGAATCAAAATTTCCAAATCTAGGGGGGCGAAAAATATGTGTAAGTTCTTAGACTGGTTTTTCTCTCCTAATGAACTAATATGAAGTAAAAGCAGTTGGGCGATACAGAATTACCTCGTTAAACACAGGGGCATCAGCAGAACAATGGATGATGAGTCGAACACAAACAGGCAAACACCAGTCCTCATGCAGCCTTTACAGGCATCCAGATTCCGGAGAAACAGATCAATCAACCACACTCCCTGTATTAAAAATCTTCTGCTACTATATATGGAAGAACATGTCAAATATGTAGGAGTATACTTCGTCCGATCTTCAATATGAGGCATAATTTACTCTCTTTTTTAGTGAAATCATAAATAAATTAAGATTTGGATATAATTTAGATACTTATTTTCAAATATTCCACGAGGTTGCACTGAGTACATGGGTTGTATTTTCAAATCTTAATGTGTCAAAAAAAACAGAGTTAATTTTCCTACATCACGGATTGAGTTCTCATCTTTCATTTTGAGGCGTACCAAAATGAAGTTTTCATTTAATTTTCAGGAAAAAAAATTGTGTGGTTCATATTATTTCTCCTCTTCGGCATAAAAGCAAATGAAAACTTTTATTCGGGACAGAGAGACTACTAAAGACTAGAGGGAGAAGGGCAAATTGGCACAATCTATTTGGAAAAGTTGATTACACAATAGTTGCCAAAGTGAACCGCTATAAGAAAACACCACTTTGGAGAGCAGGTAAATATGAATCAATAAACATATGAATACACAAATATATACTTCGTATTCTTAGTGAAAATTGAAGCCTGCTTCAAGCATCTATCGTTTGCCACACTGCAAATTATAGAAAATATAGGTTTATGAGCTTCTAAAAGTACAATGACCATAAACACATCTGCTATAATGGATGGAAAGTGAGAGATACATACTTATCAACGATGGACAGGGCAAGAGCCATGGCAAAAACAGCTTCTCCAGATTGGACACTTGAAGGAAAGGCATGAACATGTAACTGACTCACAGCAGTAGCAAGTAAAGCAGGGGAATTCGTAGCTGCAACCCCCACAAGACTTTGGTCGTTTGCAGCAGTGGCAATTTGAGCAGGTCCGTCTTTGTTTACAGCAGTGGCAACTGGGGAAGCTCCATCTGCAGCAGAAGCCGCCTGGACACTTGGGCTTTTTACAGCAGCAGTGTAGACGCTTACAGGAGCAGCAGCCCCTACAACCTAACCACGCACACAAGCAACCTGAAAAAATAGTGCATCTGCTTTGTCTTGAACCGTTGCAATGATCACATGTCCAACCGGTACAGCAGTATTCGCACCTTGTTGATTCAGGCTTCTTTGTTCTGCAATACATAAAACCAAAATCAATACTTTCCTAATTGATGATATAAAAAAAAACTAGTGCCCTTTTTTTTGCTGGAACGGAAGGAAATGACACCTTTACGATTATTTTCATGCATTTTTCTCTTTATCTTATTTAAAATTATTTATAAAAAAATATTTTTTTTCAAGGTAAATTAGTAGACCACAAAAGTCAAGAAGGGAAAGGAATGTCACTAACATCGGATGAGAAACAAAATTGCTAGGACTATGACCATTTGCACCTGCTCCAAGAGGTACCACGTGCACACCCGTATGTAGGGCATCTTTGTTGTCTTCTCCTATATGAGCTACGGGCATATGCCCATACCTCCCATGTTCTCCAAATGTTTCAAATTCACCCGACCTGAAGATCAAGTCCCCAGAGAAACTATGGTTTCCAATTTGGATACTGAACAATGATTCATTCGAAGCATGGCTCCAATCTGTTGGTGTGGACGACTTGCTCCTGAAAATTGAAGAGGGTGGTCCATTTGGGGAACGTTCGGCAGCCTTTGAGGCAGAACTCATAGATGTGTCCAGTTTTTTACAATTACTCCAAGGTTCAAATGAAAAAGATGAGCCCGGAGTGGAGGTATCACTTGTTAAAATTGATATTGAAATTCTACCGGAATCATCGAATTCTCCTGAATTTTCCATGACCTGAACCGGAGGCGATTGCATTGGAGACCAGTTTTGTGACGCAGATTCATCTGAAACCTTAGAGGCAGAACTCGTAGATGCAAAGAAAACTTCTCCCGGAATGGAATAGTTTCCATTTGCATCATTAATGTCATTCAGAGCTTTGTCAAATGAAAAAGCTGCCAATGTTGTTTCTGGCTCTGTTCTGGAGAAATCATGAGAACTCGATGATGATGAAGATGACGATGGTGGCAATGATGATGCTGATGCTGAAGGGGGAGCCTTTGAAGGTTCAACTTCACTTCCATGGTCCATTACTGTTTGATAAACACAAATGAAATACTGCAATGCAGGGAAACAAAAATTGCCCTTTAAATTTTCTTATGGTGTAAGAGGACTAGATTAACTCTATATAAGCACCAAGTGCCTGAAATTCAGTGCAGGTCACTCATTCAAACTTATTATTCTCATAGAACTCAGAAAAATCTTGACTCTCTTTTTCATTAATTATTGCTGCTGAGTTTAAATTGTAAAATAGCATTCCCCATCTACCCACATAAATGGAACCCTCAATTTTGGTCTTGACCCGAAGTTCAAAGTTCATAAATACACACACACACACACAAAAAACTCCAAGACTCTTTTTTTCGTGCAAATGAAGGGGAAATTGCAACTTACTCCTTCAAAAGATAGCCATTTTGGGTTGCGCCATTCTCAGCACAAACAAGAAAGTGCCTTTGGTTGATCGTGCCGGAAGCAGCTCCGGCAACCATAGTCCGCCCTCACGCAATCTACAGAAACATAAATCCCATAAAACTATTGTCCAAGACGAAAAAGGAAACGAGATCATATAGCACAATTTCCGCAATTTGCAACCAAATAACCTGAAATGCGAATTTAAGAAAACGTAAAAATGGGATCTTTTTTAAGGAACATAGACTACCTAAGAATTGGCATAAAATTTTTCACAATTGCCCAAACGGCACTGTCTCTTTACGGGTGTATCCCGAGAATGAATGGCGTTCAGGGTTTCTCCGTATGATTTTCTGGGCGTGTTGAAATTGAGAGAAAAATGCATGAAATTGATGGAGATTGGAAGGAGAAAGAGGAATTAGGGTTTTTGAATGAAAAGAAAGAGAATAATATAAATTGATCAATTGAAAACGCGCGAAGATACAGATCGGAAGGCAAAGCGGCTGTTACGGGCTGTGCTCTCTCTGGAATTCTGAAAATAACTACTCGGGGTAAATATGAGCATCTCTATTTGGCGCCACGACGTAAATCTTTAGTCACGCGCTTAATGCGTGCGTAACAATATTAAAAAAAGATGCATTTTCTTTTTCACCAAGATTCTCATGACATTGCCGCCAACAATGTCATGGAATGGCACGGGAGTGTTACGATGCCTCGTTTATAAAATTGACGGTTACCTACCCGCGGTAAACCCCCCAGTCCCCGCCCCGACCCGAACACACTCTCCACCCCATTCAATTGCACCCCACAAGTTGATTTTGATGTTGGAGTCAGATTTTGACTCCAAAGTGTTCGGGGTGCAATTGAAGGGGGTGGGGGGTGTGTTCGGGTCGAGGGGTTAGAGGAGGTAGGAATCGTCAATTTTACGAAAAGGACACCGTACGTAGCACCCTCGGGTCATCCCATGACATTGAAATCCAATGTTATGGGATCCAATGTCATGGGAACCCCACCCTTTCTTTTTTTTTTATTTTAGAGAATTTTTACATGTATACTACTAAAATATAGACAAAAATATGCTCCATAGTAAGTTTCTTAATGTACTACGATAGGTTTTAATTTCTCAATGTAGTACGAATGGACGACTATTTGATGTCCACTGGAAAGGCTTATAATTCATATTTTGGTCTTGAAAGACTCATAACTCATATTTTAGTATTTTTATCGTTTTTTAATTCTATCTAGGGAGTTCTTCGTTTAAGGTCTTGTTCTCTTCTATTGGAAAAATTAATTTTTAACTTTATTCAACTTTTTTATGTTTCTTTTAACAAATTTCAGTTTCTTTTATTCATTTCTAATTTCTTCTAATTTCTTTCAACAACGATTTAAAATTCATTTGTTTACATATTTATTTAGATAATTATGTAATTGTATGGTTTTCTTAACATTTTATTTTGTACACCAACATTTTCAAATTCTATCCATTTTTTTCAAATCTTACATATTTTTTTAAACTTAAACTAGATTTCTAATCTGTGCGTTGCACGGTCTGTAATTTGAGACACTGAAATAAGTTCATATATTAAATTTATAGTGTATATAAGGATAAAGAAAGGAAAATGTATTAAATGTAAAGATTAAAACCATTACACACTAATATTGAGTAATTAATTAGTGAAAAGGAAAAAAAAGATTAAATTAAAGGTTTTGAAAGACTTCCCCATACACTACATTCCTTGTGGAATATTTGTGGGTAGAATTTTTTTAATTCATTTGCTTTAAACCATTACGATCTGAGCATTTTTTTAATTCATTTGCTTTGACTTTGCTTTGAATTCCAGCACCTCATTCACATCTCCATCAAAAACCACTTTTGTGACGTCAAATCTCGTAGAAACATTCACATCTCCTACCCGTAGTGCACATCATTAATTATTTGCACGTATATATTATTTTTGTTAATGAAAATGAATTTTATTTATGGATGGCTCGCTGTTGAATGTTTTAGCCCGACCAAAAGTTCTCCCCTAAACACGTACAAAAAAAAGAGTATGTAAGAATCAATGTGTGGAGTAATTTAAAGTGAAATTTGCACTGAATAGGATTAAAACATAAGTCATTTCCCAATGCAAGACTTAAACTTTTTTATTCCCTAAATAGGACTTAATAATGACTAGTGAGAGGAATAATGTCCAAGTGATGTTGGACATTTAGTTGAATAATGACTAATAGATAATGACCAATGGTCCTATATTGGGAAATAAAAACATATGATCCTATATTAAGAAAGTCAGTATGTTTTAGTCCTATATAAGTAAATTACTCTAATTTAAAATGTATATAAACGTACTCATGAATCATGATCCTCAAGAGTTATCTCAATGAGCTTGTCTTCTTTATGCGGTGTTACGTGTGTTCGGATTCTTGAACGGCCTAGAATCTTTCCAATCACACCTAAAAGCAAATAAAGTATATATGTTATAAATATAATATATATGTATATATATATAAATTATTTTACAACAACTGTATTCAAATGTCATGTACCTGGCAAGAATTTTTTTTTTTCAACTGGTCGCTCCCGAATACTCGAAAAGGGACGTAAGTCAAACATCAGTTCAGGAAATCCTTGTTTACTCAGTGTCTTGACGTCAGTTTGGGTAAAGAAAGCCAACATATAAGGATGCGGGATTGTTTTGTAGGTTTGGTAATTGTCATGAATCCAAAGGTTCTTTATGCCAAAAACACATCCCTCAACAATCTGATTTTTAAATTGTTGATTGTAAGATTTCTTTAGTTGGCAATGAATTCTTGTACCCTATTTAATAGCAAGATTATACATAATAATTTTTTTAATACGAATGCCTCAATGTTAGTACATAATTTACAGTGTATTATTTTTATATGTATAATGATGAAATGGGAACAATGAAGAAAATGAAAAAGACACATAGTCATCGTGGAAAATAACTTTCATGGACTCTCCGCTTCTACCAAAAGAAGCAAGTTTGTAGACACGAACAGCCCGGACATGGATAGCAACGGCACCATTGCCTCTCTCAAGATCAGTGAGTTTTGTCCATAAAATACGGGAATTTGGATTGGATGCCATTGTTGTTCTTGTTAAGAATTTCGAGAAATATTTGAGACTTTTTTTGGGTATAGAAAGGATTGGAGTGTTATGATAGTATTTTTACTTAAAGGTTGTTTTTTTACTTTATCAACCACCAATATTATTTCTCACATAGGCCTATATGTGACATCTTATCCAAAAGTGACACGCATTGCCTCATACCATTAATTTGGATTTGACCTCTTCTCCAAAAGTGACTCAATATCCAAAAAAAAAAGAAGAGAAGATCCTATGCCCATATCCCCAAACCGGTTCGCTATAGTCTCTTAATTAGCTTGGGCGGGAAAAGATGCAATGTTCGAATGAAGAGAGAGTAAATACGAGTATTGCTCTCTTTTATCCAAGCATAGCTTAAGGCTTAAGCTACTCCGTATATTTCTTCCCCGTTTCCCCCACAAAACCCTACTGGTCCGGAGATCCCCCCACAAACCCTACCGGTCCCACTCTTTCTTACCTGCAGATTCTCACCGAAAAAATCCACATTTTAACCACAATGTCCGCTCATGGAGCTCCGGATTTGTTCCCGGATCTCATATTCTCCGAGATCCTCATCCGTTGCCCGGCAAAATCCATCTGTCGCTTCAAATGCGTATCCAAACGTTGGTGTTCCCTCATTTCCAACCCCCGCTTCATCGCTTCCTACGCCTCTCGTTCGGCTCCTTCGTGGGTTGCCGTGGACCGCGTGGTCCGGGTCGAAAAGGGTCCGAAAGAGTTCGTTCTCTCTCTTCGCGAGCCCCCAGATGTGAGCTCCCTCTCCGTTTCGCCTCACTTGGTGGAACAAGATCTTGTTGATTTCAGCAGTAACCAATTCCCAACCGCGATTTCGGGCAGCGGCGGGTTTCTTCTCTTCTCCGTTGCCAGGAAGCGGGACCCGTATAGTGAGAAAGAGAAGAGGCCAGATTTTTTCTCCCATGAACGTAGTTATGGCACTCTTGCCCTCTGCAACCCAATCACTCACCAATTGATTGAGCTTCCCAACTCTCCAAACTTGATAAGCAGTCGTGCTGCCATCGGGTTTGCCCCTAGGGCTGCGGGTCCAGGTGGGTCGGTTCTCGACTTTGTGGTGGTGGAGTATGCACCCATTATTGGGTCAGCTGCTGCTTCATTGATGATATTTTCGTCTGAGACTGGGAAATGGGAGATTAAATCTGCAAATTATATGCTGGGTATGCACTTTTGGAACCCTGGGGGAGTGTTTGAATTTGATGGGCACTTGGTTTGGGTTGATAAAAGTTGTGGGTTCATTGTTTGGGATGAGCCCTTTAGCAGAGAGGAAGTGGCTCAGCTTCGGTTTATTCGGCTTCCCCAGGGTTGTTCTAGGCGATTTGATACGCCAAATTTATCGGATGAGCGGTGTGCTGGGGCTGGAGATGGGTGTATTCTGTATATGGAATTGGTGGAAAACGGCAAGTTTTTGAGGTTGTGGCAGTGGAAAGATTATAATAATGGAGGATGGGCTTTAGTACATAAATCATCTTTGAAGGATATTTGGTTTGATGACATTTGCTTTGGTCGCCGGCTTCCAAAGATGACACCTCAACTTCTCTTCAACCACCCTTTTGATGTCAATGTCGCCTTCTTTAATGTGGGAGATGTCATTTACTCAGTGAATGTTGTGGATAAGAAGGTTTTGGGTCGTGCTATCCCCTCTAGGTTGACTAAAGATATATGGACATTCCCTTTTCTGCTCCCGTCTTGGCCAGCTTCATTCTCACCTGTTTTGCGTGAGTTGTTCAATCTCTTACGTTCCTTTTCTTAGCATGTATACCAATTGAGTAGTATTATGCTTATTCTTATGCTTATGACATTCCTTATATTGTGGCCAATGTTATTCATGCCATACCATTTTCAAGCTGTTCTGCCATTGAAATCCCATATATGGTTGTGTAATTGTGTTGGCTGTGTATGAATGAGTCGCATAGATCAGTTACACGGTGTAACAAAAGAGAGCAGGAGGTAGCATCACAATCCTAGTGCTTTTTCATGCTCATGTTTTTTGTTGTAACAACTGAGGTCTTTATTTTTCTCTAAGCTTAGTGAGGTTTTTGTGCTTCTTGGACTCGATTTATTCTCAATAATTTGCATCTATTGATGTTGTTCCTGAGGATTGATCATTATGCTTCTGAGCTACTTGTACATACTAGCTTTTTAATTGTTGTCTAACAATTTGGGGTATATAATATAGTTTGATTTAGGTTTCCTTGATAGACGAGCATTGTGGGGGACTTTCTGCTTTTGCTTGCATCATTGCAAAAATTCTAGTCATGCATGATTCTTTGAACTAGTTAGTTGCCAAACTATAATTTTCATGGTCATGCATGGTTCATTTAACTAGAAACTTGAAGCTATGATTTTTTTGGTGTACTCAAAGGGGTGAATTTTTTCTTTCATTATCATTCTAGTTGTCAAACAAGAATTTTTTGCTCTGTGGAGACAATCCAAACTTGTCAACGGAGTTGAATTCAATGCGGCAGTTTAATGATTTTATTGATTACCCCTTTTAGTTAGTTCACCTCTGCCAAGTTCAGTTCTTCTGGTATTTTCCCCTGTATTTGTCATGTTATTATTCTCTACCCCTTGAGTATAGGCGTATAGCACTTTGAACTTATATCACCTCGTGGTTAGTCTACATCCTTCCCATAAGTTCATCTGACTATCATTAAGGTTGTGTTATGGTCGTTGTATAAAACATTGAAGCCTGACAATTTAACTTTTACCATGATCTGACTTCATCTTGCTTGCTTGCTTGCTTGTGTGTTGTAGTTGCTTCTGTAGCAAAGGAACGCGGGAACAAACACTTTAATGACAAAAGTTGGAATGAAGCTGTCACATGCTATTCACAAAGCATCAAACACGCGCCAACTGCTGTGGCATATGCGAATAGGGCAGCTGCCCATCTCAAATTGAGCGAATACAAACTAACCGAGGCAGATTGCACAGAGGCATTGAAGCTGGATGATAAATACCTGAAAGCGTACGCTCGCCGAGCAATAGCACGAAAAGAACTTGGGAAGCTTAAGGAGGCCGAGGAAGACGCAAAGCTCTGTTTGAAGCTGAATCCCAAGCAGAGTGACATTGCAAGCCTCCATGCTGAAATCACGTCCTCTCTGGAGAAGGTGAGATTCACCTGCTGCAAAGTGTGTTGTTTATGTTGTTGCCCCTTTCGTGAAGAAATTGAAAAAATCTGATAACATGATGTTTTGATGGATATACCAGGCAGCTTTGAAGGGCTGATGCTGATGAAGAAGTTGCACCCAACCCATAACATCATGCGGGAGATGGATTATATGTTATCGGTTGGTTCCTACTATGCTCTATGTACATAATAATCGTATTAATCTTCCTTCCAGCCAAACACTGGTTAACCTGAAGTTTGAAGTATGTGTCTAATGTCTAACGCTTTGTGGTCGACTTATAATATGTGTGTATCTATCTAGTCTAACGCGCTTTGTGGTCGTGTCTTATTATGTGAATAATGCTATGACATGCTGGTTAGTATCAATTTCATCAACTTTGAGAGAGTTTCCTTAGCTTTTGTTGTTCATATTATTGGTTCCTTTCAGGTTCATTTGTTCATAAGCTTATTATTAGTTACCAAGTATATGATAGATTTTTTTTATATTTGGAACTTTGGATTGGACTAGTTTTTTAATATAAATTGATGAATGATATTTAAAGTTATTTTAAATATAAAATGAATTGTTGACAATGGTTTTGTTCGAAATAGAGCTACATAACATTACAACAAAGAATAATGGAATATGCGTCCAAAAAAAGAATATCATAGTTTGAGTTTAATTAGCTCGGATAAAACATTTTGACAATTAATATCTATAATCGTAATTGATCTTATTATATAAACTATTACCTTTATGAAGTAATACCATGTCCATGAAAAATATTAAAATAACATTTCAAAATGGATCTGCTTAAACTAAAATGAAATTATAATCTCAATGTTTTCTTAGAGTGCCATAAGTCAATGTATTCCATATATCCCTATTGGCGAGATTTGACTAAAATTATAAATTGGTAGGGAACTAAATAATAAAAATTATTTATTTAAAAATTAGATTAAAAGTTATACCAAACAAAATTTTACAAGACTATTTTCTCAATCGGGTATAAAAATGGGTACAAATTTTGGTTCAAGTTTGATATGTGAATAATATACATGCAACTGAAATTGGCACGGAGGGAATATTATCTACAAAAGTCACATACAAATAGTGTTTGAGAGCAGATGTCACATGTACTATCTCTTGTCCTAAAAACTTTTTTGTTGATTTTATTTGGTCAGACACTTACATTTTTTTCCACAAATTGTGAGAACACTATATTTAATTATAATACACATTAAATATAATTGAGTTCATTTATTTTTTTTTGAAAGTAAAGAAACTTCATTGTTGTAAAAGAGGGATTACAAAATCCGGGGGAGTAGAAACCCAAACAGAACGACGGGCCTCTGCTCTCCTCGCAAGAGAATGAGCAACAACGTCTCTACGAATAAAATTGATAGAACTAGAGCAAAAACCGACCAACAAGCCTTACATTCAACAATTAACGAACCAAAATAAGAAGAGAGAATGAAGTATCTGAAATTGCTGAAACCACACGTTGACAATCCATCAAGATCTCCACGTTATGAATATTAAGCGTCTTGATCCATGATAGAGCTTCACGACACGCCATAGCCTCCGCCATAAGAGGGTCCGGAGAACAAAGTAATTCCCCATTAATAGCAGCAAGAAAACAGTTCGTCGGAGAAAATAGAGCACACCCGAAAGCAACCCTACCACTATCCGGCGCAAAAGCAGCATCAACAAAACACCGACAAGCAGAAGAAACCCCCGGCACCGCCCCCAACACTGCCCAGCAACAGCCCCTGCCATAGCCCTCNCAGCAGCCCCTGACCCTGCCCGCACAGCCCCCGAAACCCCCCTGCAACAGCCCCCAAAACATAGTTTTGATAAAAAATTTTAGTTTTGATACAATTTTATATCATTTATTTTTTAGATTATATGTAACTTATTGTCAAAATTTATCACTTTTAATAAAAAAGAATCAGAATAAGACCGGAGGGAGTAATTTAAAAAAAAACAGAGGCAGTAATGATTTTGTTGCACGAATAATATGTTGGTGCCCCAATGCGCGGTACCGAAAATGAGTTTTAACCTTATTTTCCGCTTCGGTGCCGTCTCATAGCACAAACCAAACACGCCCTAAATTTGAGAGGCTTGATTGCAAACTACAGTGTGTAGTTAGCTTAGCCACACATCCGGGTTAGAATGTAACCACAACTCACAAGCACGAGTTTACGACCGTTAAGAAAGAGAGAAATTTGCACGTTGGGTTTCACAATAATTTTACTGCCATGAACCCATGATTACGTTGATAGTTTATACCGACACAAATGTTAGTGCGTTAAAAAAAAATTACACGGACACAAAGTGTTGGTGCATTAACAAAAATTATTTTTACATCAATACAAAGTATTGATGCAAACTTGCGGGGTACAAACTGGGGTACAAATAGCTTTATCCGTGTGAGCTTGATCCGGTTTTTTCAATTCTTTTATGAAGAATTTTAAAAAATGCATCGCTGGGTTCAAACACAGAACTACATGGGAGTGATGAGCTTCTCCAAACCATTTCTGCTACAATGCTTTGTAGGAACTTTCTACTATTCGTTTTTTATATTCTTTAGCGGTGGTGTGGCAGGCGGCAATGGAAGGGCTGCGGCAACAATTGGGACTAGGTCATGGAGGAGCTGGCAGCAACAATTGGGACTGGGTCAGGGCTGGTAAGGATGGAGAGGGAGGGCATTTTGGGGAAATTACACTCATAGTCAACCCTTCATAAAAATGAAGAAAAGTCCAAATGGGAAGTCTTTTCCCGGACGGAGGAAGTACTTTTTATGTATAGTTTTTTTTTCTTCTAAAATTCAAAACCCATTGAGGTAATTGATATGGAGTGCATATCACACAAATATTTTATATATATTTTTAAATACTAGATAAAATGTTTAAAAAAATTTAAATCACTTTTTATTTCTAAGATTTTTTAAATAAGTAAATTTTTTTATTTAATGAAACAACTCAAGTAAATTAAGTTAAATTATAAATTTAGTCAAACATCAATTCTTTATTTATAAATAGAGGAAATATTATTTTATTAATCATATATTAGTTTTTTTAATTCAATGCCACAATGTGTGTGTGTGTGTGTGTGTATATATATATATATATATATATATTTATTTATTTATTAATTTATTTATATATTTATCTATTTATTAAAAATGTTTGAACCACCGGTTCAACCACTCAAACCACTGGTTCGACCAGCAAACCAGTGACCGGCCCTGCAAATGAACAATATATTTTGATAACGAATGACTCCCACGCGGTGACACGGGGACAACTAACAAGCATCCCAAACTTGGAGGCCGTGTTGCCGGACTGAGGCGCGACTATGCGACCAGCCTCACAAATTGATATGTCGAACTGAGGCGCGACTATGTGACCAACCTCACAAACAAACATGCCGAACATACAGCGGGTTGCACTTGAATATACCAAATAGCAACCAAAAACAATATCGCCAAAAACGTCATTAAATTTCGATGAACGGTAGAGTGAACAGAAAAACCTTCTTCTCCTGATGAACGAAGCAAAACAAAACCAACCTACGAAGCATTATCCAAACCATTGCCCAAAGTGATGAACACCAAAATCATTAATAGCCAATGTTAAGATTGGATGAACAAAAACAGAATCTCCTGTGATGAATGGAATTGGCTGAAGGAATCATAAGAACAAATCATCAAATTAAATATTTTGAGGTGGTGAGTGGACTCCTGAGAGCAGATCTGGACTTCGAGCAAACTCGACGGTGACGCCCAACCAAGAACACAAACACAGTCAGATCCGAAATTCCAAGCAGCGAATAGAGACAGGCAACATGCTGCGTACGAAAACCTATAAATGTGGCATTTGGCAACAGACGATCAACGGGCGGCAGCACTTGCGCCAAACAGAACCGGGACAATAACAGAAGACGAGATAGAGGAAGATTTTTTTTGCGTAAAACGATGGCAATGCCGCCGTCGCAGGTGGTTTGTCCGGCGACGGCGACAGCGAAAGCACCAAATTAGAACAAACTAGGGTTTAGGTTCCCAGGTTGGCTCTGATACCATGTAAAAATATAATTAGAACTAAACTTGAATGATTTGATTACACATAGATCCACTATTTATAATAGCTACAAGACCATGACCTAATTAGGAGCCCAACAAGAATGAGCCCGTTAACGACAAACCCTATTACATTCCTTAACAACGACCATTTGGACCACTCCAATTTATCTTCCATATTCCTTTTTTTGGTTGGAATGAATATTTACATGTCTTTGTATCTCGTACTCCCTCTGTTCTAATTTATAGTGCTTTTTTCAATTTACGATGTTTGACGCACATTATTTTTAAATCATTTTATATGACAAATAGTATAGAGTTAAAAAATAAAAATTACATATTAAAGTACTACGGAGTACATCAAAAGATCTACAAAACAAGTAATGACAATAGTACTTTATTTTATCAAATTGCTAACGAAAATAGAGAAAGAAAGTGAATAAAATTTGACCATGTGAAGAGTAAACATGCATTATAAATTGGGACGGGAGAAGTAATTGTTTAGGAAATGCAATATTGTTTAGGAAAATACAATACTTTGTATTTATTTATAAAATATTTGTGTACGAACCTGCTGTAAAACATTAAATTAAATTAATGCTTGTTTTAACATTGTGTAAAAAATTACACATATATAAATATGAGTATAAAAAAGGTTAATAACGTGAATACTTTTTTGAATAAATTCCATAAAAGAGCAAATAAATAGATTGAATGTATGAATACTAAATCCGTATCCATTTAGCAATCAGATATCTTTAATCGGATACGGATAATAATCGCTTTCAACGCATACAAGTATTTTTATGTAAACGGATACAAATGCAACCATTTAATATGTAATTTTTATATCTTATTGATATACCAATTTGTAAATAAAATGATTTAAAAAAGTAGAAAATTTACTCCGTAACCCGCAATTTGTAATCAAATTGGGGACGAAGGGAGTATGTAATACTACCTCGGTCCCAGAGTATTTGTATATTAAAAAATTATAGAAATTATATATTAATAATCTATATGTTAAGACAAATCAAACAAGATCACATATTACTATATTTAGGCTTACACATTGAGAGAATTTGATGAGTCAAAGTGCTTAGATAAACAGTTCCAAAAGTCAAAACTGGATGAATATTTCGTGACGGAAGTAATAAGAAATGTTTGATGTAGGGAGAGAATATAAAACCATCCGACCCATTGAGTCTATACTATACTACGACCCTCACCCACCCATCCCTACACCGCCATCACTCCCAAAAAAATTGCTCTCCAGAAATCTCCATCACCCTCTCTCTCTCTCTCTCTCTCTCACCGACCACCTTGCCAGAAGAAATCTCTCTCCTGTAGATTCCGTCTCTCATCTCCCAAAACCCAATCTTTAGGATCCGGAACAACCATGGCGGTTTTCGTGTTCTTTTCAGTGCTTTTTTTGGCTCTCCTTGGTCATTCCAGTACGAATTTCCTTCTTCTTCTTCTTCTTCTTTTCCCATAGGTCAAAATCTCAAAAAGATTGGACCTTTGAGGGTTTCTTGAGCTGATTTCTTCTGCTTCTTTTTGCGCAGGAGCTAATTACTGCGTGTGCAATGATGGGGTGAGTGATTCCCAGCTACAGAAGAACATAGATTATGCTTGCGGGAACGGAGCAGATTGCAGGGCCATCAACCAAAACGGCGTCTGTTATAACCCTAACACCGTCAAAGCTCACTGCAACTATGCAGTGAATAGCTATTACCAGAACAAGGGCCAAACTGCACAGAGCTGTGACTTTTCTGGCACTGCAACCGTCACTTCAACCCAACCCGGTATTACAGAGTTTTCTTTCCCCCCTTCTCAATCTTTAACTTTTACCCATTTTCATTAGCTAATTAGTACAACTTCTTCTCTGTTTGGTTTTGTTGTTGGTGCAGCTACAGCTTCTGGAACTTGTTCTTATCCCACAACTGCTGGGTATGTGTTCTTACCCTTCGGATCTACTGTCATTCTTTACATTTGATTACATTTTTTGAAATTTAAAGTATAGTGTGAAGTTTTTTATCTCCTCCAGATCCATATTGGGATTTCGATTATTTCTTTGATTTCTATGGGAATCGTTTTCTGAAATGTTAAATTACTTAGATATAAGAAAGATTCTTGCTTTATACCCAATACTGCCAATAGGTGATGAAGAAGGTAAAAAAATATTGGGATCACCTGTGGGTGGTGAGTCACAAAGCATGAATGGTAGGGAAGGGGGCCTTTTTTAGTCACACTTTTCAGAGGGCTTAAAAAAAATTCCATAAAATGGTTAGAATGTTGGTTTGGGTTCTCTGGTTTTATTTAATGTGAGAAAAACATTGGGGTGTGTCACATGTGAGCTGTCCATGATGTTGATATGTGCTTTCTTTTGTTGTTGAGCTTCTCTCTTTCATTCTTTTAATTTTGTCCACAACTTCTTTCTCACTAATGCCTCACCTCTTCAAGGAAATTACCCATTTAATAGTCCACTGATTTTGGCATTTTTTCTGGTGCTTACACATGCTGGGTACCATGTTTCTTTCTTATTTCAATCTTTAGTCCACATACATTCATTCAGTCTGTCTTTTCTTGGTTCTTGGTTGCTCTTTATATCTTGAAAAAGTGGTTCTTGTTATGCAATCAAGTCAAAAAGTGGAATCCATACTATACATAATGAATGAATGATCTGTGGACTGTCTTGTGATATTCTTGAAATAGTACTGGTACAACGGGTGGTGGAACCACCACATCGCCCACCGCGGGCACCACCACCCCAACCACCGGCGGCGGGACTGGAATAGGCACAGGCACAGGCACAGGAGGTACGGGTACGGGTACGGGCATGGGTACAGGCACAGGGACAGGTACGGGAATGGGAACCGGTGGCGGCAGCGTGAACCCAACACCATTTGGTGGTGTGGGAGTTGCACCAACAGGGGGGATCAACACCACCCCAGACGGCAGTGCTGCAGCAGCCGCTGAACCATCTCACGGTGTAATAAGCACGGCGACCATCGCCTTGCTCGCTCTATCCCATGCCTTTGCTCCTCGGATGGGTTTCTGAAACAAAAGAAAAGGAAAGAAAGGGGTGCTGGAGTTGTCTGACTGATTATTGTTCCTTTTCTGGCATGGTGGAGCTAGCTATAGATTCCCCACTTTTCCATGGCGGGCTTCTCTATCTTTTCTTGATTATCGTTGATGATCGTCACGGTGGTGGAAAAAGATTGGAATTTGATTCCTCTGTGTAGTGGGGATTTGATGTATTATTATTATTATTAATATTATTACTGTACTACTACTATTTTGTATGAAACCCATCAAAGACATATCATCTTCTTCTTCTTCTTCCACATCTTCCTGTCTCTTAGATAGGCCCTGTATCTCTATTTTATTTCAATTAGCTCTTTAACAGAGTGTCTTTTCACTAGTCTGATTTTCCTATGGCAAAAAAATGCAACTAGGGTGCCAACATAGTTGGACCATTTCATTTTGCTATAATTGGTGAAGAAGCCTTTGCAATTAAAGATCAATTTAAAAAATGTTAATATTAAAAGTTACATTTAATAGAGAGGGGTTGTGGGCAGTGGGGCATGGCGGGTTAACAGTGGAACATGGAAACTATTACGGTCAAAAGTTACTTTTGTCTGTTTGACTCGGTAGAGAAATTGATGATAAAGTGCGTTGAAATAGAGATTTACTCGGGGTGAGATAAACATTCCTCCAATTCATTGCTCATGTGTTCAATAAATATATCAATTACCCGGAGTATTTTTCACTATTCTCGTCTCTATATTTGATTAATCACAATTATTAAGAAAAAATCTATCTCTGTACCAAATTCTGAAATTCATTTAGGTTCTCTTTGGTACACATAATTTGAACTATGAAATTTGAATTAGATACAACATTTTCAATTCTGTTGTGTGATAACATAAACATATGTGAATTTGAAATTGGTAATAGCAATCGTGAATCGGAATTAGATAATTCAATTCTATCCAAATTAATTTCATAAATCTTAACTCACAATTCAATTCTAAGTTTGTGTACCAAATGGGCTCTTATACTATTCGAATACTATACACAATTTCATCATTTTAAAAATGATTTTATTTATCAATCGACATGAAAATAAAAATATAGTTTGGATAGTACATATTTAAGAACTAAACAAAAATTTCAATGAAATAAAAATATTTTATTTTATCAAATCATCAATACAAACACACGAGTGAGCAAAAGTTATTGGGAAGCTCAAATGATAAAAATATAAATCATTTTGGAACAAATAGAGTAAACAAAAGTTATCGGGAAATTCAAATAGTAAAAAAATAGTCAAGTCATGTTGTATTGTATAACAGTTTTTAATACGGAGTATCTATTACTCTGTATTTTGTAGTATAATTATTTTGTACGAAGTATGTTGTATTATTCAAATAAATTTAATTAAAAATAATTTTGAATGTACACAAATCATTGTGAAATTTTAAAAAAAATTTAAAACATCTTGTAGACTAGTAGTCATCACGTGTCCTTTAATTTTTAGAGTTGTTTAAATAATGTAAATTTGAAGTTTAATAAAAAAGAAATCACTCTAAATAGGATTAAAACATAGAGAAAGTATCAAAATAAGAGTTCCATGTTTTTATTTTCTAAATAAGAGTTCACACTGCGGTAATGTGGTACTATACGTGTTCATTTTGCGTAATGTACATGATCATGATTGATAATGTAACATTTTAACTTTTATTTGAGGAACAACAAATATCAAACTTCTATTTTGATACTCCCTGCGTATCATTTTATAACGCTTGTTACGGTTTATTATGTTTGACTGAAATTATTTTCAAATCATTTTATATGACAAATGGTATATAGTATAAAAATAAAAATTACGGAGTACATATTAAAATACTACATTAAAAGATCTACAAAACTAATAGTGACAATAGTACTTTATTTTATCAAACTGTTAATGAAAATTGAGAAAGAAAGTGAATGAAGTTTGATCCTATAAATAATGAACATGTATTATAATTTGGAACGGAGAGAGTATATATTTTCAATGTTATATTTCTACTTTAGCCTTTTTCTCTTGACACAACTCTTCAATTAAAGAAGAATATTCTCGTTAAAAAAAGGAGGAATATTCTCCGTTTCGTAAAAAAACAATTCTTTATTTCTTTTTATTTCACTGAATTCAAAAAAGTGCAAAAACGAAACCTGTGTGTGTAGTTTGTCTAAAGAGATGTTTTGTCTGCAAATA